TTTTTTTTTTTTTTTTTTGGGGGGGGAGGGAAGGTCCCCAACTTCCGATATGCAAATTTTTAACAGCCAACATTCACTGCACTTACTCCATGTCAGGCCCCATGTAAGTACATCCATATGCAAACTCAGTCCTATAAAACACAATCCCTATTTTACAGGTGACTAAAGTGAGGCTCAAGGACTCTGATGGTACAGTGCCTAGGCATTTGAGTGCTTACCAGAAGATTGGTGGTTCACATCTACCAGCTGCTACTGGAAGATGGTGCAATCTACAAGATGATTTACTGTCTCGGAAACCCAAGGAGGGTTATGAGTCAGAATCGACTTGATGGCAGTTGGTTAGAGAGCCAACACTAGCCCAGTGGCAGAGCTGGGATTGGTCCCCCAAGCCACAAAGCTGTACTGCTCTTCAGAAAAAGCTTTATAACCCCAGTGCCCAGCTGACACTCAGAAGGGTGGACACCTTGCTGTATTTACGTGCAAGTGCCAGTGCCTAACACTGGGCCTGGTTCAGAGCAGAATGTGCCATGTTTGCTGAACATATGGGAAAGTTCATTTTAAGTATCCCTTAACTGCTTTCTGTATGCTTGCCATTTTCCAAAACCAAAATATCAAAAGAATGAATGAAAGAACAATTGCAGCTCCACCTGTGTACCCCATACTTTACTCCTTCAACTTGGACCCCCACAGAGGAGGGTCCTGAGTAGGGCAATCCTTAAAGACGGGCAGGATTGCTCACGTCCTGAAGCACTCGATGACTCTTGACATGTGGGCCTAGATCCTTTGGGTTAGTTCCCCAGTCTTCCTAGTTCAAAGAGAAACTTTCTCCTCCTGTTACGTGGAAAAAGCTGATATTCTCTGGGTTTAACTTTCTAGATTTTGTAGGGTATGCTTGAGGTTGAGAGGAGTTACTATCTATTTTGATCTCTAGGTGAGTAGAGTGGGATGAATGTGGACCCTTTGGGGCAGGCTGTGAGAAAGCCACAGAGGCCAAGGGCAGTGGGTGGGGTCTGTTAGCCTGTTCCAATCCACACCAAAATCTCTTGCCTACACCTGCCCACATTCCTAAGCCTGAGCCCACAAAACAATGTGACACAGACTTAACCTGGTCCCAGTTTATTGTGGAGGAAAATCAGATGTGGAGCAGAGTAGGACAGGCCCTTCCTTCTCTCCCCAGGCAGCTATGGAAGTGGGTGATGGGACTCAAGTGAGGGTGTAGTGGGGCAGAGGGGCCAGACTGTGATGTTAGAGGGAGGGCAGCAGACCAGCAGGAGCAGAGGTGGTGGAAACAAGTGAGGTAGGGACACCAGAGAGCCAAGTCAGAAGTCAGCACAGAAGTCTACCTCTCATTCCTGCTTCAAGTTCAGCCTGGCACTAGGTCTTAGAGACAGGCACAGGACAGAGGTTCCAGAGCTGGAACCAGATGGAGGTGGTGAATGATTAGACAGAGGGGGGAGTGGGAAGATGAGTGGGGATGAAAGAACTCTCAGACGATGGAAAAGGAATGAAGGAAACCACTGTGCCTTTCCCAGGCCAGCCTGGGCAGAATCCACACAAGATGCTTTCTAGGAGCAAGAAAGAACAGCACCGGTAGCAGTGCCAACTAGCTTCAGGGGAGGTAGTTAAACGAAAGCCTATCAATGCTGGATGTACACAGGAAGGACACCTAAGAAATCATGGTAACCAAAGGAATGTGGGTGTTCCCCTAAAGGACAGTGCAGGATATTCTGAAAGGTGTTAGGGGAAAGTCACTGGAACAGTACACTCTGAGAGGGGTGAAGTGTCAGGGTCCAGCCTGGGGAAGAACGAGAAGTCCTGATCTGTTGAGAAACAGGTAGGTATGGCGCAGGTCAGCAATGGACAAGCCCAGGCTCAGGGGTAGGGTGGCCAGAGGGTCTAAACCTTCAGGCTCCATCCCAGCATGGAAGATGGGTAGGGGCAGGGAGAGGTTCAGGGCCTGGTAGAACTGTTGGATCTGGGATTCAGTTAGGGGCAGGGCCAGGGGCCTATCAAGGGGCTGAGATGGGGGGCTCTGGAGCTGTGGGCTGGACCAGGAGTTGCAGTAATCGTACTGGCAGCACTGGGCCTGGTACCAGTACTTCAAGAAGTAGGTGCTACGCTGTTCTTGGCAGCGGTAGGAATGATACCGTCCGCAGGCTCGGATGATGAAGCGAGGCTTGGTATCTGGAGAAGAAGGGATAGTCAGTAACCACTGCTTTCTTCCAGTCCTCAAACCTGAAACCTTGACCAATTACTCTCCCCATCCTTCACCTAGACATCCAGTCTCCTTCGGAAGGGGTCTGAAAAAATAGCTCAGCTGGATCGCCAGAACACCAGGCCCCTCCTTCCAAAATCTTCCTCCTTTTTTCTTCCACTATAGGTCCAAGCAGTATCGAACTATGAGAAGAGGTGGACACCAAGCCCTGGGCTGTCCCATTCAGAGCGCCCTTTCCTAGGACTTGACTCACCATAGTAAATGGTAATCACCATACATGGGGACAAGCTGTTGATCGTGCACTTCTCTGAGCCTGAAATGCAACCTACAGCAGGGTCTTCTAAAAGGCAGAAGTGACAAGTCCGGACTTCAGGAACAGGAGCTAGGGAAACAGAAGATAGGAGAGGTGGGAGTCTTGGCTTGCTCCCCACATTACCTGCCTTGCAGGGAGCCCAAGCATCCAGGGCCTATCCCCACCTGCTTCCTCCCTGCCCTTGGGCCCCACTTACCCTTTCCTGCTGAGAAAGCCACCACAACCAGCATGCCTACAAGCATGTGAACCTTCATTATGGGATTCTGGTGAGAGAGGCAGTCTCTGAGGGGTCCTCTAAAACCCACTTTCTTATGACCACGCACCTTGATCCTGAGGTGCAGGTACTTCTGACAAGCAATCTGACCAGGAACTGCTGTAAGTACAGAGCTATACGCTGCCTGGGACAGGATCCTGAGCTGCGAGAGGAAGTTATTAATTTGGCAAAAAGATCATGTCCTCACCCACAAGGTCTGGTTCCTGAGTGTGGGAGTAGCAGCCCAGACAGAGGTAATACCTGGACCCCATCTGGCCCTTTATTCAACTATTTTTGTTCTATGTTCTCCCCAAAACCCAATCCCTCACCTCTAGGGTCTATGGACTAGTCTGTGTCTGGGACCACCTGCTGTCTTCCCCTAATAGGGCCAGACCAAGGCTGCTGGAAGAAAACTCTGGCCAGCAACCCCACACCCATCTTTAAGATGAGCATCTGAGCTCCAACAGCAAGAGGCATGCACACGCGTGTGCACGCACACACACACACAACACACACACACACACAATACACACACACACACACACCACTAAGCACCAATGCTGGACTTTGTCCCTCCTCCCCCTACGTCTTACAGTTCTGTTGATTTTAGGACCACTTTCTCTTTAGAACCCAAACTGAAAGACAAACGCTATGAGATCCCTTTCAGTACAAACAGACAACCACAGATGGCCCCTAAAACAACAAATCTTTCTAGTTTTTGAAAGCTCATTTTTCTCTGGATCTTTTCCTTGTGAACTTGTATTTCACACCCAGTTCTAAGAGTTTTGCTCTGTTCTCCACTAAAAACATCACCCAAATCCAAGCCTGTTCTGGATTCCAACTTGGGTAGAGCAAGCCCTGAGGGCTTCTGGGGTCCAGAACACCACTACCCTCCCTTCCCCAATCCCAAGCACCAACAGACTGGCTCATGGCCTTTTCTTCCACTTTATTTCACATTCCCACCACAATAATGACTCCTTTAATTTAAACTAAAAACCATAAAGGATTCCTGAAAGGGTGGCAGCAAAGGAACAGGGGTGTAAAAGACTGAGGAACAGGTGGAGTGGGGAATCAGCGAATTGTCTTGACTGGACTCTTGAAGTTGCTGGCGGCTTGGAGCTGCAGCTGGTAGGCCATCGGGTGGATCTTGAAACCATAGAGCCTGGGCCAGATAGAGGTCAGAGAGGCAGCAGGGTGAATGGCCTGCATTTCCGCCTCTCCATCCTAGAGTCTCTGTGGGCTTGCTCAATGCTTAAGAGCAGTGGTTCCCAAACTTCTTCACTGGAGAGTATTTGAAGATATATCTCAAATTCTAGAACATACTAGTTCCTGTTTCAATACTAAACTTCTCTTTACTACAACCAGAGTAAATGTGATGCTCTAGGAAAATGAATCATATTTAACCTAAGGTTGGGCACCCAAGACAATGATGATAACCAAAAAACAAACTAGCTGCTGTTGATTTGATTCCATAGTGACTTAACAAGTGCTGAGTAGAACTGCTCCATAGGGCTTTCAATACCTGTGGCCTTTTGGAAGCAGAGTGCTTAACTATTTATGCTAGCCTGAGACTCCATGATACCTAGGATTTAAACGATGTTTCAAGACTCACTGTTCTAACCAATTTACATATGCAAAACTACCCTGTCAGACATACTACCAGCATCCCATCTTACAGATAAAAAAACTGAGGCATAAAACAATTAAGTAACTTAACAAGGTCACTCAGGAGGGAGAAGCCCTGGCCTGGGAGAACCCATGCCCTGCCCTCCCTTATCTCCAGGGGACATCAGGTCTTTTCTTTGACCTTTGGGGACTCTGTCCCTGCTCCCCACCTGGGCACAAACTGGTTGGCGGGCCTCTTGGGCCGGTACTCAGGGTGCACCATGAAGAGCATGTGAGGGAAACCAGTGCCGAAGTAGGCGCCGTCTGTGTGGTGATGCCTTGATGACTTGGGGGTGTACACGTCCATGCACTTAGGGCAGTAGAGCTTCACCATGGCCTCGCCAGGGATGTCTGACAGGCCTGGGAAGACAGCCAGATTCAGCTGAGTGGGCACCCCCCAACCCTGCCCAACTTACCCCCAGGGTTTTGGCCCCGACTTGCTAAGTCTCAACACATTTCTAGGGGACTTGCCATATGTCAGTCACCCTCCCTTCCTCTACCCAACACTCACCAATAGGAAGCATTGGCTGGTTCTCACAGTATACACGAGGACAGTAGCCAAAGTCTCCCTGCTGGTACTTTTCCAACTGAGGCAAATAAAATAGCAAAAATTGGTATACAGGTATGGAGATAATGCAACACACATAGTGCTGATCCCCTCCTTAGCCCAACCCGTATCACTGTGCCCCCAATCCTCCCACTTCTGTCCAAGGACCCCTTCTCTGGCCCACATGGGCCCTCAGACTCTGCTGCTTCCTTTTCTCCAGTTAGGCAGGCTGCAGACCATCAGAGTCATTCACCGTTTATTCTCTCAGGAATAGGTAGTCTATAAGAACTTCCCATCCAGAGTCGTGTCTCCTTCCCTGAAAACAACCCCTTTAACATGACCCAAAATCAGGACTCAATTTCCAGGCCCAGGTTCTAGGATTCTTCCCCTCTTCTTAGCTAGACTTCTTGGTGTGGTTGAACTGTGTGACTTCTTGTTGTAAAAACCTGTTTCCCTTACTGTCGCAAGAAAGAGTCAAGAGGAAGTAGAGAGATCTCACCATCTGGGCGATGCCACGATTGGTGAGGATGTAGCGGGCGTGGATCAAACCATACAGCATCTCAGCCGCCTGCTCAATCAGGTCACTCTGGTTAGGGTTGTCTTCCAGCTCTTCATCTGAAACATGGTCCGGCCCAAATGCAACCACTTGCCTTTCAGCTCTCCTGAAGGTGTTCTAATTACTCTCTGAGGATACTGGCTACTCTATTTGCTACCCACCCACTTTTGAGTCTCACCCCACCTGGGCATTCAACCTAAAAACCTGGATCTCAAACCCTTCCACCAACCCAGGGCAGCTCTGCCTTCCCTCCATGCCACTTCAGCCTTTGTTTCCTTCTCTTTCCTTAACTCCTTTCTCAATACAGAAATGGAAAGAAGTCAGTGAAAAAGGTGGGATTCTAGACTGAGTGGTGCAGGGCAAAGGAAAAGAAAAAACAAGACACCTGGGGAAGCTGATATTTTGGATGGAATAAAGCTGAGTCACAGAATCACAAAGCAGAAAAGATGTGGCACATGTCATTAAACTAGACAAGAGCCAGTGGGTAATCAAAATGAAGATTTTGGGTTAAGAGAGACAAAAAGCCAATAACAAATTTAGAAATTCAAGAAACAAGTGATTAAGGATTTGGAGAGAAGAAAAAATGAACACAAAAACAACCCTGACAGTGCCTCACCAGGCTCCAGGTCCAAGATCATGTCTAGTGCTTGTCGATAGTGGGGCACCTGCTCATTGAGCCCTGTGAGGTTGAACTTGTCCTGGATATAGTCTTCATCCACCTGTCAAAACATGGAAGTAAGGAAAGAACCCACGAAGAAATCCTGGGCGTTGACCCCAGCATGCTGCTCTACCGAAGAATGCCTTATTCTCAAAATAACTGCTTCTGATCTCCTTATCCCCTTCTCCCAACTCAGCAGGGAATGAATGTACTCATACATTCCTTCCCCTAAAAGCTTTGGCCTTTTTTCCCCTGGATAACTCCTCTTTGGAGACATTCTTTTCTAGTTCCCTATCCCTACTACTGCATCCCATCTCTAGGAACCAGTTTTGTCCTCTCTTTAGGGAGAGCTGGCTCTCTGAGCCTGAACAGCTTGAGTTCTGAAGGCAGTTACAATCTTTTGTGTTAATACAGAAGTTCACACAAAATATTTGAAAAAGCACTATCTCAATTCTTCTAACAGCTAACTGAAATAGATACTGTCAGTTCTACTCTAGCGATAGGAAAGTAAAAACACAGATTGACTTTTCCAATATTATAGAAAAGTAGAAAGTTTAGACTAGAGCACCAATGTTGCCACTTCACTACAGATTAGTGAGAGATATTGAGAGGACCCCTCCTTGACAAAAGAACATTCCCATGGAAGCATGTGAAGATGCGGTGGCAAACAGAGATGGAGAAACTCACTTCACAGAAGAATTCATTGCCACGGAGTCCACAGAACCAGGAAATCCAGGACACCTCCTCTGAACTGCTCATCTTCACGTCAGCTGGAAAAATATGGGTGTAAGTAAAGTCAGTGACCCAGAGCTTTCCCTCCCTGTCTCTGGTGTCCTCCCTCCTCCCACGGAAGAACTTGGGGCCAGCCTTTCTTAAAGAATGCCAGACTCTTAAATAACCCTCTCCAACTCCTTTTATTTACACACCAGCCCCTTTCCTCTGCAGTTAGAAATCCCGTGCTTTCCTTTTGAGAGAAACGAACAGATCTGACCTACCAGTCCTATAAACATCCCTCGCGCTCCCGAACGCCAGGCCCCTTTCCCCTGTGTCAATTCTAGCAGGGCCCTCGGCTTCTGCTCTTTACCACTGCAGGGCTCTGCAAGTTCTGTTTGGGAACCTTTTTCCGGAGTTTATCTTTCCCGGGCAGGAGCCCGGCCCCTCCTTTTCTCACGGCCCTGGGTCCGTAAGGTCCCTTCACCGAGAGAATCCCACCTCCGCCCCTCAGGGCACCCCTCCCTCCCACAGGGCAAGACCGGGTCACTTCCTTCCCCGCCCCCACAACTAGGCGCAGAGACCCCATGTGTAACGCTAAACAGAGCAGGAGGCTTGGCGTGGCGACGACCTCAGACTCACCCGCTGGACAGGGGCCGGGACTGGGGCGGGGAGGGGACTTGCTGCTTCCAAGGGGCGGCGGCGACACCTACAACGAAGGCCGTGGACCCGACCGCGGCAAGCGAAGC